ACTATGTGTCCCTCGATGGCGGATGTCGTAGGGCAATTGTTTGAGATTCGACGACGGTTAGGAAGAGGGCTAGATGGCTGAGACTGTGGTCGACCGTCGCTAATGTGACGCCTCCTAACTTCGTCCCCTTCTCCTTCCACTGCTTGCTACTCGTTAATAATTGTGCTAGTAAGGACAGACTCGCATATGTCGTCGAGCGTGAATGGTCTGCTAAGGCTGTTAGAGTCGGCAATCGTCGGTCTAGATAATGGGTCTCCTACATTCCATACACACACGCACACACCAAAATTCACTTGATTTGTTTGATAGACTTTTTTTGATGATGATGATGGGTTTAAACTTACTGAAGCATTGATGATTCGGGCGAAGTAATATTTAGATAATTTGTGTTGCTTGATGATCGGTTTCAAGAGATGAATCAGAGGATGATTAGAAGGGATCTGATTGATTGGACTATTATCAACCGTCTTGAAACAACAATCATCAGTTCTCCACATAAAAAAATAAAACAAAATCGAGAAAAAGATAGTTAAATACCTGAGAAGAAGAGGAAGAAGAGAGATAACAGGAATCGATAGCGTCTCTCCACCATTGATAGCGCATCTGGGCGATCAATGGTTTCTGACTTCTCGAGACCGCATTCGGGATATTGTTGATCTCGCCATGAAAACTCTTGATAGCCACGAATCCTGGTTGCGACTCTTTAGGCCAAAATGGAAGTTGTAATCTACCAAAAACAAAAAAAAAGTCTAATCAGTCTTGATACACTAAAAAGAATGTAGAGGGATGCTTTGTTTGCTCAACACTGATTCTGGGTCGTTCCTCTTCAATGAGTCCAGACATTCCTCGATCGATGATAGTCCTGAATATCCCCGTCGTCGTTGTCGTTGTTGTTGATTAGTAGAACCAGTTCGTCGGATTGCTCCTATCAGTAGTCTCGTGGTCGTCAGTCCTATCCTCCTATCCGTCATCCTTGTTTCCTTTTTTTTCTTCTTGGGGGTTGAGTGAGACAACAACCTTGGGTAGCATTCACCCACTTGAGGGGGGAAATCTCCGCCAGTTAAATATTCAATGCTGGGGATGATCTCATTAGCTAACTTACTGAAATCGGTAACCTGCCTATAAAACACATCAACACTCTTCTCGCTTCTCTTGACCATCACCACCAAACCAACCAACAACAACCTCAACTCACCAAAGATATACCAATTAACAAACGATGTACCATCAAAACCAGAGACCCAGCTCACACCAAGAACTCATCCCATCATCATCCACATCACCATCACCATCACCATCCAGAAACCAACAACAACAACCCCAACAACAACAGCAGCTACGAACCAAAGAACAGAAACAACATGCTTTCGGCGCCGATTCTGATGATGATGATGAGGAGGAGAACAATAACAACAACAACAACAACAACAGCGATAGCGATGAAGACGATGGCCTCGGGTTCCAAGTCTACAAAGGCAAGACACCACTCCCACCTCTAAAAAAGCACAATCCTAACTAAAAGAAAGAACCCCGAAACTCATTTTCTTGTTTCGTCGCGATCACAGATCAAGCTTCGACTCCTCGTTATCTTAATGTAAACACAGGGCCCCCTACCCCGAGCAGCGCTCAATCGAATAACATGACGGCGATGCAACAACAGACGAAGAGAGGAGGAGGAGGAGTTGCAGGAAGCATGATGACCGGGACGACGAATCGGGGGCCACCATCGTACCGATATCCGCCCGAAGACTCGCAACAACACTCGACGATGCATTCGCAAATCTCGCCGACGACGATGACCTACAAGCCCGCGCCCTCGGACCTGGTCCAGATGCCCGCCCTCGGCTCCGACTGGACCAAGGACGAGTCCAAGCGCGACAAGGATTGGGAGGGCAAGGACACCCTGATCGATAAGACGAAATGGCTCGACCGCAAACAGAAGATCCGCAGTAAGAAGCAGGTCGTCGATAGTCAGTTCCGCGACTTCCTTGCCGGAAGAAGACGGCTTGGGGGCTGGTTCACAAGGGTCATGGCGCTCGTCTTGCTGCTCTTTTCACTCTTACTGTAGGCCCCCCCCCCTAATCCCTCTCACTTATCCATATAGAGAGAAGAAGAAGAGAAAACTGATGTTGGGGATATCTTATGTACCAGGGCGGTCCTATTGATCTACTTCCTAGTACCAAGGGTTCCGGAAGTAGCCTACAACAACGAGACGACGTTTACCGGCGACAGCGCAAATGGACTCAGTTTCCAAACCCTTGAACCCGTCAGGTTCGAGTTCAACGGGAAAATCAACCTGGCAATGACCGCCAAAAGCTCCTATGTTCAGCCCAAAACGAGCATCATTACCGTCATCATCAAGGACTTGTCGTCGGCCGGCAACCCCGTCGAGGTCGCCAGAGGCTCGAACTCGGACTCTCTTAGTATCAGTAATAAGGAGTACACGCCGTTCTCTGTCGACCTTAATTTCCGTTACTCGTCAGTCCCATTTTGTTTTCTTTTTACTCCAACATATTTATGTTTAAGCGTCTTTTTTCGATTTGTAGGGCAAATTCGAGTAAGGATCCGGTGTGGACAGCATGGCACGAAGCATGCGGCCACAAATGGCCCGGGAAGGAAGACCGGCCCAAGCTCCAAATCGGGATCATTGTCTTGTGGTCGCTCAAAGGTCGCGCCGGAACGTTCGAGGAACGCACAATCTTGAATGACTTTATGTGTCCCGTCGAGCTTCCGGCTAGTGCTGCTTGATCTTTTTATTCCTTACCCTTATTATTTGGTTTTCTTCTTGGTTTGGATTGGTATTTAAACTCGGTTATTTGTTCATGCTCTTCATTTTATTTATATGTATACACACACACCCACTCAAATCTATCAACACCTTCTTTCCTTCCTTCTCTCTCTCTTTCTCATTTCTTTTATTTCCATTGTTCAACCATTGGCAACTTTTTTTTTTTTTTTTTATAACTATACCCCCCCCCCATTTATCCCTTTTTGCCTCTCATACAATTTTCTTCTTTTTTATTAACAACCAAAAAACCAACAAAAAACCCAAAGCAAACTATTTCTCTTTCTATCTATTCTTTAACTTAATTCTCAATTCCTTTTGTTGGTTTATCCTTATTTTTTTATCCTTATCAAACCCAATCAATCGTGATCTCATTTTCTCATTTTAATTTATTTTGTTGTGTGGCATCTGATGATCATGATGACTTTCAAAACTTCACCTCATCTGTTTTCTTTCCTTTTCAAATCCTCTATTTTCTCTTTATTCTAAGAGGGTTTTTTTTCTTTAGTTTTGCTTCTGATGCAATATTTATTAGTTATTTGTAGTTATTATTACACTATAACTTTAGCAATCACAAACTCATTTCTTGTTTGTCGTATCACATATTATAGCATCAAGATCATACACACACCAATTGCTTGCATGTGTACTCCTAAGTGATTCATTTTTTGAATTAACGACAGGCTGCAACTCTACCCCTGTCTGGGTTTTTGCAGGTAATGCCCAGATAGCCCCCAATCTCATCAGATCCCAAACCCTGGTCTGGTCTGCAGGAATGGATGCACAGATTCTGTTGGATTTGCGGGGTCCGGATTGGAACCCTACCTAGAGCAGGGTAGAGAATTGGGCGGGTTTGGGTCAGCCCACTCTAATTTTCCTCTACCCTGCTTACTTAGCTTAACACAAGCCCCACCTTCATCAAATCACAAAGCAAGCCTCCATGGTAGGCAAGATCTGCCTAGTTCTATTGATCCAACAGGCAGGCTGTATTTGATGGTTGAAGATGGGGGGAAGTGTAGGGCAATCCCCCCCCACCAAAACATCAAAAGCTCTCAAGCCAAAAATTTCACTTTACTTCCAAGCCCCTCCTTTGGAGGCTTGCTTTGCAAGTGAATTAAGGTGGGGCTTGTGTTAAGCTAGGCAAAGGTTGGAGTTGGGCTTCCTATGCATTGATCTCATCTGCCTTCAAACCAGTTGGGCCTCAATTGGGTTTGAGGTGGGCTTGGGCTGCTTGGTTCCTGGTGTTACCCAGGATTGTTGAGCAGAAAGCGTAAAATAGTTTCAATTCAAAATTGAGCAATGATTGATTGATGTAAGGAATTTTAAACTGTACCACAGAAGCTGCAAAACAAATCTTCAAAGATTGGAAATTCTTCTACAAAAATGGCCTGGTTGGGAACTTGCTGCTTACAGCTCACAGGGAGGGTGCCTATTTGGCTCACCCAAGGGCCCATTGGCCATTGGGATAGCATATTTGGGCTACTGAAAAACCCAAAAGATCACCCCTATCCCAAGGAAGGCATGGTCAGGACCCAGGAAACCCCTGAGCTAGAGTAGGTGGGTGACCTAAATTTATGAATTTTGGGGGAAAACCCCAAAATCATATGCACAAAATTTGAATCAATAATTAGTTTTGGAACCTGAAATGGTACACATAATAAGACATGGTTTAAATGTCTGGATTTTGGGTCAATCTTGAGCAAAACCCGCCAAAATGCATCATCTTCACATTTTTTTGGGAAGGTATTTTCAAGGATTCTCACACTTTCCAGGGTATTTCCCTGCAAGCATACACATAAAGCAGGTATGAATGACCCCAAAAATGGCATTCCCCCGTGGCCCCCCATTTATGAATTTTTCAAAAAATCTGGGATTTTTGGTTACCCGCGTATCTTGGGGGTTTCCTTGGTCCTGCACAGGCTGCCAATGACATAGGCAGCCTGGCCCAATGCTCTACCCTAACCTGGAGTATAGCTACATGTCACACATTGTGACAGAGACTGGATTTTTCTTTATCAAAAAAACCTGGATTTGATTTAGTTAATGACTAGATATGCAATGAAAAACGCACATGATGTTGCCAGTGGAATAAAATTACTTGATATACATAGAATAGTATTTGAAGGTCTGTAAAAATGGTGATGTTAAGCCAGGACGCTACATATCGCATATACACGAGGTTTACAATTGATATTGCCGTACAATTATCACTTGAGGTATGTCGTATAAAGCATGAGAAAAATGTGCCAATTAGAGTGATTTTTCTTTCCAAAAGCGCTCGGGATTGTCTTTCCTCCTTTGAGTTCGTCGAGCTGTGGACCTTGGATGGATAGTTTGAGCCGAATGGGGTGGACTGGATAGGATGGGTGCGAAATATTTTAACAGATGGCCTGAATAGGGTTGTCTTGAGGAATTGAGATAGATGTCATACAGTATGAAGATCGCAAACGATCAATTTTGGATCAATGTTGAGTGGAGAGATTCTCCACGCGTTGTCTTTCTTCGGCTTCGTAGAAATTGATGAGACCTATGGAGTCACTTTGATTAAGAGTCTCGAGTACGAAGCGCATGGTGTCATGAGTGATATAAGGACGACCGGCGTATGTCGGGAAGATCTTGAGGAAGGCAAGCCGGACTAGTTTTTCTTCCAATCTCGCATTCTTTTCTTCATAGAGGCCAATATAGTGCGCCAAGGTCTCGTATTTCTATCCCCGCATTTACCTGGATAAACGCTCCCCAAACTACCCGTCCACCTTTGTCCCATGTTTCCATCATTGGCTCGAGCTCATCATGGTACTGTCTCACTCGCTCCACTTGATTTTTTTGAAGTGGTAAAAAGCACACATAACTTGAGCTCAGTTGGTGCGAAGGTTGTAGCTGTTGGACAGACAGGAATTGCCCTACGTCCAGCGTTCCTCACGAATTTTGAGAACGAGCTATCTGGATTATCGTCGATTGGGTGCAGTCGTATATATCGCTCCTTTTCATTAGCTTCAGATAGACTCACTATTCCTGAATCTGCAACAGCAACAAAATTCGGTCTTCAAGTTGCGGTTCGTTTACAATCTTGGGAGGTATTTTGAACTCTGATTCAAGCTTTCAAGGTGTGGTGATAAATTATGCGAATGCATGATAATGGACCGCTCAATCTATAGGGTTCAAGCCCCTTGCAGGAACTTCACGTTCGCAAAAACATGTAGGAAAGACATGGAATCGATCACGTTCAGAAAATAATTGTAGGAAATTTACCAGACTTCGCTATAGATCATTTCATTTCTAGCCTATCATGTATCTCTTTTATCGCATTTCAGAAATATAATGCGGGGATATGTTGTTTCATGAAAACAAGTCAAGCCTCTTATCCTAAAAATTTCTCTTTTTGCACTGTTTTTGCGCAGAATTGTTGTAATGAAGGCCCTTTGTTTTTTTTGTTGTTGAAAGGCCTGAACTTTTTCGTAGTTACTCGGAATGGCATAGTTGGATGCCTAAGGTACATGAGCAGGATTGATGACCAGGCAGGATTGAAAGTAAATATGTTTTTGCTTCTTCTAATTAATTCTTGAGAAACTGGTTGTGTCCCAAACCAGCTGAAACTACTCGTACAGGAAACAGGTTGGAAAACGTCCCATCATTGTCCGCAACAAGGTTTTTTTCCGCTAAGGATTTGGTGAAAGACATTACAGAAATTCTTTCCTTGCCACCCCAAGGAACGCGCCGAATTTTTTGAACATAAATATCTACTATGTACACCTTCGTCGACTTCGTAGGATGACAGGTTAAGGGATGGGTCATATCTAAAAAGATATTATTCGGGGGTTCTGCACTAGTCTGCACTTCAACCCACGGATGGAGACGCGTCGGCACATCGGCATAATCGCCGGTACCTCCGACTGTGGGTACATTAATATGTACTCTTCCGCACTTTTTTGTTTTCAGAGACGTGGACGCTTATAAAACAGACCTTTCATAAGCGCTGTGAAGAGGATCTGTTGAGCTACGTCAATTTACGCATCCATGTCCGTCGCAGTGATCGTCTTCAATGTTTTACGAATGTAAATAATATGTATTTACATCAAAAATATCAGATGCATATTTACTTTCTTTTATATCGGGCTGATTAAAATGAATTGACGAGTGATGTGAGGGTTCTCGAAGGAAAGAATAAGTTTTCCCGACGGTCACAACCACTCATACCTACTGATACCCATGCTGCATCGCCGGCCGGGAGAATAATGAGCATGAATTTCTCTCACGCTTCTTCGGTGTTCCGTGGATGATTGCAGGATACGAATCCTAAGAGTGCAGCGATTATTGTGGAGGCTAATCCGAAGCAACCTAGGACTACATATTCTTGAGCTAGCTCGAGCTATTCCCAAAGGCTGTGTGGTACTGTGGTGAGCTTGTATATGTACCCCCAGGGTCATGCAAGGAGGACATGAACTCAAGGATGGTCGAATCATGTGCTCGGAGTCGACTCCACTTAAATCTGCTGTGTTGAAGATTACAGAGAGAGGGTGATGACTCCAGTCTTGGGAAATTTTCATTGCGATATTCAGACGGATCCCAAGCATAGGGTCGGTTCTTTGGTGGTATCCAGCTCAACACGCCTAGCAGGGAATTTTGGGACTGCCATAGACAAGCCAGGTTTGGATTTTTTTTTCTATAAAAAGAGACTGGTTTGCTCTGTTTTTTGAGTCACCCAATCTCCTCATCCGGTATCCTTAGTCAAAAAGAATCCCCATTCCCCTCGATTTAAATATTCCGAAGTCGATCCAATAGTTCTTGTTATACTTGCACAAGATGAAACAAATCATTGTCGTGTCAATTGCTCAGTTTTTATTAGCTTCAAGCATTTTAGCCAGAACTTTTACGATCAGAAACAACTGCCCTTTCACTATCTGTTGAGTTCCTTTTCCAGAAATTCCAAGAACTTGTTCTTGCGAAGCTTCCTGCTTATTGAATCTGGTGCAATCTTCCATTTATCCCAAAACACAGGGCCAGCGCATTTTACGAACCCCGATTCCCCTAGTAAGCTTTTTATAGCTTCATTCTTCAGGAAGCATTCGAGTATTCCAGAGATTTAGAGGTTGATTCTTGAAATATTACTGTGATCATAAACAGCCAAGCTCACCAGTCAAGTAGCCGGATGGGATGCACCGGCGCGAAGCCAAAAAAGCTTCCAGGTTCCTGATCGTTGGGCGGGAAGATTTTGGGGAAGAAGGAATTGTGATTTTTCCAAACAAGGCCCTAGCTCATGCGCCGTGAGTAAAAAAATCTTCCAATAAAATCGATGATGACAGTCTTGTTTATTGACCAAGTGCTATACATCAAGACCGGCGGCTGTAATGGGGGCTTGATATGTGATGCCCGTACTGGATCGGGAGTTCGTGAGTATATATAGTTCGGGTGTATAATGTTGAAAGTGTTGCGGATTTCTTGAATGACCAATCCTCCTTCCTCTTAGCACCGGCGACTCTTGCCGAATTCAAGTTAAATGGCGATGGCGGAAAAGACTACTACGATGTCTCGAATGTGGACGGGAGTAACTTACCGGTGCTCATCAGCAACAACAAGGGCTGCCCTTCTCCGTCCTGCAGAGTAGATTTAAACCCGGGTTGTCCCGAGGACAGGATGAAAGTCAAGGATGGAAGGGGCACAACGATCGGATGTCTCTCGGCCTGTCAGGTGTGTAAATCCATCCTCATGCCAGCTCAAAGACAGGCATCCTGTCTTAACACTTTCTTTGTTTTTTGTAGGCTAACTTGGACGGCAACCACGGCAACTCAGCTAATTGCTGCACCGGCAGTCACGGTAAACCAGAGACCTGCCCCAAGACGGGTGTAAAGTATTATGACTATTTCAAAGGGTTAGTTATCTTCCTTATATTTGAATTGATGTTTCTATATCCAATAACGGAATGTGAGAATTGATCAACTGCACCTATGAAACACATTTGTAGAAAATGTCCTGATGCTTATGCGTATGCTTATGATGTAAGATTTTCTTTCTATTTGGATTCTGAAAGTTTGACCACAAACAGAAGAATCTCATGATCCGGTTTCACTTCCTTCTCCTCATTTCTTGGATTGGGGAGCACAGGAGAGCAGCCAAAGTGCGCTCTGGACTTGTAACAAGGGTGCAGACGTGAGTAAATTATGGCTCTCCAACTAATCCAAACTAATTTTTAATACTTGGCTGAGTGGTTGTTTGTTTTATACATGATAGTACACTGTCACTTTCTGTCCCTGAAAGCCGAAGGATTTATGTGTTTAGTCCGACTTCCACTTGTCAAAAGAATAATGGGCAGATTAGTAGTAGTGAACACACTCACAGGGCAGAAAAAGTGGGAGAATTATACATCTGAAGTTTTTTATATCCTACTACTTTTCTACCATCTCTCAAGACTCTATCTAAGGAATTAAATCAAGATGTGCTTGTGTTATCTTAACTTGAATGCCAAAGGAGGCAAGGTTTCTGGATGTGTTATCTTCAGAGAGCATTTGATTGAATTTGGCACGCTATAGTATAAGATGACATTTAAGAAAAGATTTAAGGTCAACCAAAATTGCAATATAGTATCCAAGATGTCTTTTCTCATCTGATGGATAATCCAAAGACTTTGATGCTGAGAGAGCATTCTTCCTATGAGTAATTCTAGGGCATTTTTTTTATCTCAAGCCACTCCAAGCAACCTAACACCAACCATCAAACCATCCTTAATTTGCAGGCCCTGAAACTTGCATTCAAGCTTCATGATCTGATGCGTGTGCACATGTAAATTTTGCTCAAGTAATGGTTGACTTGTTACAAAGAAATCGAGCACATAGTGAAAATAAACCGTCACCATTTGCCTCAAAAGGCAGATTGGCATTGTGACTGGACCTCTGCGTCATAAGTAGTTGAGTCCTAGAGCGCAAAGAGATGATCATTGTACACATTTTAGGGATGTAATCAGGTAAGTGGTTTGTAAATTGCAAGAAATACTCACGGTAGTCTTCCAGTGATCCACCTCATATTTGACTTTGCAACAATAACAGAGCTGGGCATCCGCGCACGTAGATTTAGTGATCGAGGTAACGTCCACTATCAAAGTCCATTTTGGATGCATGCTGGTGAATAATGTGGGGGGAGGGGATAGATTCATAGGGGATATTAATGTGAAAGCTCAAACTCACAGTGATACATTCCCCGATCTACAAAACCGCATGTTGGAAAAGGAAACAAGGTTTTTTTGCCGCAACGGAATGGTTGGATGGCGGAAGCAAAATGTGCAAAAGCAACTAGCATGATGAAGGACATCAAAAACTTCATCATTTTGAGGCGGAGCTGAAACGACTGCGAAGCAATGGATATTGAGAGGAAAGTCAAAATGACTGTGAAATATTAGCAGGTATTGCGAGGAAGATGTGGAGCGAATGCGGGAAGAAATGGCGGCAAGTGGGCACTCCTCAACATGTTTATGTCAATCATGGCACGCATGAAAGATCCCGCATGACAATCTCTCACGAACCATGCCGACGTTAAAAAGAAGAAACTTGATGACTTCCAAAGGTGCACAACCCCAGGATTATTGTCAACATCAGTATGACACAACTATCAGCGTAAGGTACGAGCGTTGAGCAAGGCAACGTGAAAATCTCCTGAAAAGTTTGTTTAGGTCAACAAGATGATATTGATAAAGAAGGGTAGGTTTCCCGTCGCAGTTTTGGTTCATTTCCAGCGGTTACTCAATTCACAGGCGCGGCAGAAGATTAAATGTAACTGTTACTTCTTGTCCCACTTCATTTTACAGTTAAAACTGACGGACGTGATTTGGAGATTGTTTTGGGGATGGCAAGAAATTCACTGCAGCACAAGCTCCACGTTATTGACTTCATTCAGCTTCAAGAGTTCCATGGCCGTTTGGATGAAGTTCCTAAGCTGGTGGAAGCAATAGTGGTCTAATGAAAACGCGCTAACAAGAAAGCTTTACTTGTAAGCTCATACATACGTTTTGAAAGGCAGACAAGCAATCCAGTGAAGCTCCCGTCTCGCAACAACAATTTGCATTATGCAGACGTTTTCTTTGGATTGAATCTTAAATTCTTGCTGTATCGTCAAGTCTTTTGATCAAACCCTTTCGAAAAAAACATGGCTGCTGCTTGCGACCAGTTTTTACAACATCAGGTATTCACCATAAGAAGTCATCCTATCGATCTATCTAAGTAAATATGTACAAAACAAAAGAAGGAAAAAAGAAGATAACTTGAAATAACAAGATTTCAAAGAGATTCTCCCATGCCCTGCAACTGAAGGAAGGTTAGAACTTTGATGATGGTTTCTGTTTTAGAGAGAGATGAAGCAGGACCCAGGCAACCCCCTATAGAGGTGCCTAACCAAAAATCCAAGATTTTGCCAAAATTCCTACATTTCTGAAAGCCATTCATACACATTTCATGCCTACCCTCCTGCTGAGGGGTGTGTGTGTGTGTGTGCAGAGCACTATAAATTCCAACCCTCCAGATTGTCCAGCAACATCAAACTTGCCTTTTGCCTTTTTTGCTGCCAAAAGTTAGCTTTTTTGCCTTTTTGAGGTGTTTAACAAGTTGTATCCACCAAGTTTACACAGGCAAAAGCAAAAACAAAAACAAAAAGAGAGGGGAAATTTGGCAAAATTTTGATAATTGTACATCATTCATACATTCTAGGTTAGTACCCTATGAGGATAAAAAGGCCATTCATACATTTTTGGTGTGTATCATTTTGAATTTTTGGTCAAAAATCCCTACATTTGGTTAGGCACCTATATAGGGGGTTGCCTGGGTCCTGATGAAGCAATTATTAAGGGGCCATTTGGACGGGGCCAATCCTCAAGTGGAAATTCTCTCATTCAGATTTTCGCCAGATACAGAATCTTGTATTTTGAGATAACATCACAATCTCAAACACCCATGTGGCAGCCAGCTATATTTCCAAAAAAAAAGCCTTCAGATTCATCTCATCTCTCACCAGAATAAATCCAGCTTGTGTGAGGAGAGGGACCCATGGTCCCGGCAACTGGCCATCCGCAAAAGTTGCGCGACATCGCCTTTGGCCGCGAGAGGGCGACCAGCATGCGACGACTATACCCTTGGTCTGGCTGACCGGTTCCTTAACTTTGCTGTTCCTCCAATTGGTGATCTTAACCAATTCGCCCATAATCATTTGAGACTTAAAATTTACTACTGCTGTCTGCTTCAAAGATGTTATCCACTTTGCAATGAGATCGACATACATTTCTATTAGTTTAGCTTTTAAATTCAAAAAGAAGAAAAATTCCTGCATCATCAATTATCTCAGAGAGCTTAGAATTCGGTTCCTGTTGTTTTAAGACGTCGTAATTTATAAAGAACCTGATGACTTAACTCAACAAAAATGTGAATGAATCAGGGAAAGCAGGCCAGCCGCAGAATTGAAGCCGAGATAACGCTGCTATAACTCCTCTTGCAAGGACAATTGTTTTTGCAAGATTAATTCACCATGAAAAACCGGAACAGTAATTTGCCGAAGAGCGTTTTCCAATAGATTGCCAACTCCCAAAGATGGTATAAACCAACTTGAACATCCCGTCGACTACATACTACTAGCTTGGAAGGGTCTCGGGTCTCAACCAACTCTGCAGCGAGGGTATTTGACCTCCATTCAGGCTGAGCAGGAGATATTTTCTGCCTTATTCCACCCATTATTTTCTATTTTTGCCCTGATATTATCTCCCCAGAACCTATTTTTATACACAGGCGTCAGCAATGCAGTCACCGGCCCCGTAGCGCAACTGGTAAGCGTCACAATGGGTTGTTCTATGTCCAACAATCTGGCTTGCCAGCGTAGAGAGCACTACAATCTACTGGAATAGAACATCCATCGTGAGGTTGGCTGTTCAAGCCTTCCCATGAACGGGGCTACCTTTTTTTTCTTGTCTTTGTTTGCCTGTCTGTGTACATGAGCGCATTTGGAGTATGTAGGCTCGATGGGGTGGTATTAGGGCACAAGTGCCAGTGCGCCGGGTAGCAGTAAAAAGGATTCATTGCTCCCATTTAACAGTTTGATGACAAGATACCCTCCTCAGAAGAGGAACGAGCCTCCTTGCATACAGCAGGTGAAAGGTCTTGATGAAGTGGGGGCCCTCCTCGACGAGCCGGCACACCGCTCCTGCCAGCTCGGCGAGCGTGCCTATCTATGTATCCTTCCTCCCAAGGACAGACATATCCTCGCCGAGCAGGTCAACGTGGTACCAGCTCTACGATTTCCGTGTGGATGTATTTCCCTCGACCCGATGGTAGCTTGGTCATGAAGTGACAAGGGCACCTCCAACCGGCCGCCCCTGCGGAACTCCAACAGCAATCCCCAAAAGCCGCGCGACCTCAGCTTTTGGTCTGGCGACCCACGGCCGACGTCTCCTCCCGGTCTGGGTGTCAGACAAGGGGGGGGGGGGGGGTTATCGTGGCAGCACTGCCATCGCCATTCGTGAGTTTAGAAATCATAGAATCAAGGAAAATCGAAAGGCAAGCTACATAAATCAATCGATGGATATGTTATGATGGGGTACATGATTGTTGATTTGTGGGTTCCTGTGTGGAGGGACGCGTGGCAATGATGACGCGCTCACGGAGTGGCTCATGTTGCGCACACGCGTCTGGCAAGATATCCAACCGATTTCATATCTTACACCAACACATTCACTCTGAGAGAAACAACACGATATCGATTGACCGACTGAGACACTCGAAGAAGGACGGAGAGCGAAAGAAGAAGAAGAAGAGATGCTGGTAGGACTGATAGGAGCCAGAGGGACAGGAAAGAAGACGATCGCGAGGGAGCTAGTGACCCAGCATTCCTTCCGAGAACTCTCCATCTCCACCTCCACCTCCTCCACATCGACAACCGAAACGAAGAAGAAGGACGAGCGGAAGATCGTCTTCTCATCAGCCCAAGAACTGCTCGACTTCTTCACCTCTAATTGGACCCATGACTTCGTCACCTTGGATCTTCGCTCCAAGGCCGATATCTTGCCGTTCCTTAAACGCCCCGCTTTCGTCTTGGTCTTCGTTCAGGCTAGGATCTTCGATCGGTGGAATAGAATTCTTTCCATCTCTTCTGATCCCTCCCTCCTGTATGTTCACTCTTCTTCTTTGAATATTATCCTCCATAAAAGAATACTAACCATCGGAAATTTTATTTTTGAAAAAAACCTGATGTCTTTTGGTTTCCAATTTTTTTTTTAAAAAAAAAAAAAAAACTATGACGAAAATGAACGATCTGGATCACTTGATTTTTTTGTGGGAATGTGCGGGAGGCAAGTATAGAAGCTTCGAGGAGTTTGTAAGAGAAGATGATGATCTACAATTTGGGACGAGAAGAAAGGCAGCAGATGGAGAAGGATTAGGGAGGGAGACAACGGAGAGGAAGCCAACAAATGGAAATCAACTCAAAGGACAACTAGAGAAAATGAAAGTAACAGGTACTGGACCAGAAGAAGAAGAAGCGGACGAAGAAGAAGAAGGAGGAGGAGGAGGAGGAAGAGCGAGTTCGTTTGGCTCGCTGAGCGACCTGGCCTCATATACGATCACCAATGACCTCCCTCTATCCGCCTTCCTTTCCTCCCTATACCAGCGTCATCTGCCCGAAATACGCAAATCTATCCGGCCGTGTTGGGACTCTTATTTCACGCAACTCGCCAATCTCGCCTCTCTTCGAAGCAATTGCATGAAACGCAGAGTCGGCGCGGTCTTGGTGACCGTCGACAAACGCGTCCTTAGTACTGGCTATAATGGAACCCCTCGTGGAATGCGTTCGTCTCTCTTTTCTTCTGGTCCTCTTCTTCTACTTCACCTTTCTTAGAAAATCAAATACTGATTTATCATCACTTCCCCGTGTATTTCTTTTTTTTTTTTTTTTTGGATCGAAATGCCATATAAGTTGAATTGTAATGAAGGAGGATGTGTACGATGTAATGGACAAAATTACACACCCAATAAACTAACGGATTTAGATACAGTAGTCGCAGGATGTGGAGTGAATTTAGAAGAATGTTTATGTTTACATGCGGAGGAGAATGCGTTACTAGAAGCCGGCCGAGACCGGATCACTAACTCGACTCTTTATTGTAACACGTCAGTCTTTCTCTCTCTCTTTCTTTTCCCTCTTCTTTTGTTAATGGTATCTTAATTTAGCTAATTGTGGAAGTTGGAATCCCGGGCGGACATTGGTTTTTTTTTTTAGTTGTCCTTGTTTTAAGAGGTAGCATCAAAATCGTGCAATGTGGGGTCAAAGAAGTCATCTATTCTCAATCGTATTCGATGGACCAACTCGCCCAAAAAATCTTCCTTGAAGCAGGTATCAAACTTCGTCAATTCAACTAGTTTCTTTTGTCTATCGATCTCGTTTTTTTTTTTTTTTTTGGATTAGTTTGTTATCTCATCGATTATCATAAAATACGTTTCATGCATTACAATTCATTACCGGATCTTACAAACTCATCTATCTTTAAGATCAATTGGTTATCCCCATAACCTTCATAGTTTTCTCTCGTTGTCACTAGGATCATTATAGGAGGAAAAAAGCAACAGCCAGATCGTTTTTTTCTCTCTCTTTTTCTCTCTCTAACGTTGATTGGGTTGTGACAGATGAGTACGTAACTGAATGTCCGTAGAAACCATACCTTAGAATTACAGGTCAGATCAGTACTTGGTTTGAGCAAAACTTTATGTGAATCACTGTTAACATCAAGTTAAAGATTGATTACCATTCACAATGGAATACCTTGATCAACAATCAAAAAAAAAAAAAAGTTGTTCAATCATACTCTCACTTACTCTCCCACGTGTGTGCTCTCCCAAAACTGTTCAGCCCTCAAAAGAAAAGGGAAACTTCTGCATATCTGCGAAGGACAAAAAACAAGAGATTATTACTTGATAAAAAGAAAAAAAAGGAAAAATACAAAAGGAAATGATATTGTTGTGATTGATCTTCTGGTCTTGTAATGTATACTCTTCAGTTACTGGTGCTATTTCTTTTGGCTTTTGTGTTCTAATCTAATGGTTCTGTATAAGTAAAGAGAGTATGTC